AGATGCGCCTGAACAGGACGCAGCGGCGTTGACGAGGCGTCGCTCGTTGCGCGCACTTGCTTTTCATCGATCGCACTTGCGGATGGCTGCGTCTCCCGAGTCGTCAACGACCGTCGCTCCCTAACGTAGCACCTTCACCTTCGACTTCAACCTCACAGACGCTTGCCTTTGCAAGACGAGAAAGATGCAACGGCCACCGTGTCGGCCATGAACCTTGAATTCTCTGCTTCAACAAACACTCGATGCAAGCGGCTAGCGCTATTCTTCCTTCTCTCCTCGGCCGACGGTCAACACACCCACTCGCAGCCATGTCTCTCACTCTAATACATTGCGTCCACTCCAGTCCGTCCACGCTAGTACATCTGCGTCCATCTCCATGCCTGCCAAGTTCCTCTTGATATCAGCATCACTCTTTCTCAAGGCCGAGAAGAAACCACGCCCCACCTCCCATGTTGTCCTCGCCCACTCTCGTCCGCCAAAGACACCAAACGTGTGGCCGCCTCCTCCATCCGGTTCCACCGCGACCCCGGCGCAGGCCAAACTTCACTTTGTGGATTGGTCCAGCTTCAGCCCTCTCCGTCAACGGAAGCCGGCCAAAGCTTGACAACCTGGTCTAGCCGTGATGGCTGTATGGGGTCTGGCCGTCTCGCCCGTCACATCAGCTCCGGCCCAATATCTGGGGATACGCGGAATGCAGGCTCAGGGCTGCGCATATATCACACCTGCCCTCCCGCCGTTCATTCCTTCCCAGACACCCGGTTATTCCATCGCTACTCCAGTCTCACCAACCACGAGGCGAACACCAGTTCTGATCTTGCAGTAGCTTACAGTTCGCTTCATCAACAACTACCTAACATAGCTCTCTCGTTCCAGTGCGGTCCTGCTAAACGTCACCGTCAACACTCACTCAATCTTGCTTTCACCTTATACCGATACTCACAACCATCCATCTTCCCTCAACCAACTCTCGTCGCGACACCTAGACCCTACGATACTCTCGCCAACGCGAATCATCTACCTCAACGCCATCCCCGACGAATCCCTAGTTCATCATGGGCCTTCTTCCCCTCAGCTACCGCCGCCCTGTCTACGTCACGGGCACTTCCGTCCATGGAAGCTCCTCTGACGTGTCTGACAGTGGCGACGAGAAGGGCAGCAGCACCACCTCCTCTTTGAAGTCTGGCAAGTCTAGTACTCCTGCCGGAATCCCCGAATCTTTGGCCTTTGACAAGATCATCAACGGCGGCACATGCCCTGTAGGTACCATCTTCAGCATCCCAGTGATCGTAACTGACTCGTCAGCCCTGCACTGTTCGCGACTTTATGAATTATCTCGTCTACATTGAGCTCGCCGCCGAAAACCTCCAATTCTTCCTCTGGCACAGAGATTACACAAAGCGTTTCCAGGAGGCAAAGACTTCGGATCTCGCCCTCGCACCCGAATGGACCACAGCTCAGGAGAACGAGGTCCTCCAGCGCCTGTTCAAGGACAAGTCATCGCGTATGCGCAAGAGGCCCGGTCAGGAGATCTTCAAAGGTACCGACTTTGAGAAGACCGGTGTTGCTGCCGCGGTCGTCGAGGACCCCAACCCGTTTGGCACCCCGCCGCACACCCCCCCTCAAGATCAAGAGTCGGTTTATACGGGCTCCAACGGTGTTTCAAACGCCGACTCCTACCGCTCGCAGGCAAGCGAGGCTTTCGCCGCCATTGGCGCCAAGCAGCCATGTAAGTGACCACACCTCGCCATCATATCATCTGCTAACCGCCCCAGTCACGATTCAGCCTTTCCGCGAGGAGATTGACCGCGTTATTGCCACTTACATTATGGATGGTGCTCCGCGACAGTTGAACCTTTCAGCCAAGGACCGTGATGCCACCCTTCACGCCCTCGCCACGACTACCCATCCCTCGGCTTGCCGCATCGCGCTCAAGGTCGTCGAGGACTCGCTCCGCAAGCAGAACCACCCCAACTTCATCCGCTGGTCGATTTGCAACGGCAACCCCGCCCGCGTCACCTTTGCTCGGGCCCTTGGTGTCGGTCTGATTGCCGTTGCCTTTGTCGTCGCCATCTTGATCACTCTCAGCCGCGCTCGCCGAGGCTGGCGCGCTCTGGCTGCTATAGGCTGGGTCCTGGGCATTTCCACCCTCGTGGCTGCATACAAGGGTATGTGTGTCGTCTTGCACGGCATGCACCACCGCCACGTCCGGCCTTGGGAGCTCTTCGTGGACGAGGAGACCGATGATGAGAAGCGTAGAGCCTCTCTTGACTCATTCGGATCCTCCAATAGTTTCGAGTCGGAACCGTGGATCGTCAAGTACGAGAAGCGCAACATCATCCGCAAGATCTTCGATCGCGAGGTCTGGATCGAGGAACCTGCTCTCCGTACCATTCAGGACACCATCTTCATCCAGGCCATGCTCTGCGCCCTGTTGCTCGCTGGTGTCCTCACCGGCATCTTTGTCGCCATCCCCCACCACGGCTACTTCTAAGCGAGATCGATCTCAATGGATGGCTGGGACCCTCCATCTAGCGAGTGTTGTTTACGCTTTTACAGAGAAGACTGCGTGGAATGGAAGTTTGAATTAGAATACCAATTTGCTTGCACGGCGTCTATGGATGGGGAATATGGCTAGTAGGGTGTTTTATTTGTAACATTTAGTTCAACATGATGAGTAATCATCAAGTCACTCATTACAAACATAATCTTGCGCATTCCCATGGTGATTTTTGTTTCCCTCTGAATGAACATTCCTTTCTGCTGAAACAACGCCCCAAGCCCAGGATCTCACCCACGCCTGTGTCTCACAGGTCCCTGAGTACACCACGAGCCAAATGACGATGGTCTAGACTGAAGTTAACAGAAAAACAAGACATGACGGACAGAAGGAATGCATGTGCCAAAGAAGGTGGGGAAAGGAGGGTGACAGTCAATGTCTGAGTTGGGGAATGTTGGCTTCACTTGGCCATGAGCAGGCCACGTTTTCCGGAATCGGAAGGCCGGATCGGCGGTGATGTGGGGCTGTTATCTCTTTCCCGGACGGACTTAGTTGGTGCGTGGCGGGAGGGAAAGTGGGGACTGCTGCCCGGGCCGCGTGCGCGGGATGCGCGGCGGCGGATCTGTGATTGCTCGCCTGGATTTACTCCCATGCACGACTACATTTTTCTATTCTTGACCTTTTGTACCGGTATTTCATTTGGATCTTCAATCTTTGAACACAGCCCGCCTCTTGGCCGGTGCCGTTTGCCGTTTGCCGTGGCTGTGGTTGAAGAGATGGGAAGTTGCGGGTCTTGGCGTTCATTAAACCTTGGCGTCACGGGGTTTCGTTGATGTGGGGGGGTTGATTTTCAGCCTGCCTGCCGGGCCGCCGGTGAGTTTTTTTTTTAGTGTGAAGATTCGTAGTGTTTGGTCGGGGCGGGACCGGAGGGTGGGTCCACCTTCTTGGGGCCGGATGTGCCGAGGGATGGTATTTAAAGGGGGCTTTTCGCCATTTCTTGGCTTTGAGATTGGAGTATGCGTCCCGGGAACGAACGCTGCACACCACACGGAAACAGAAGGACAGAAGACGTCTGAGGTTGAACGACGACGCGACTGCACGCTTTTGGATCCGGGGAGTTCGAGATGGAGGGATGAAGGGGGGATATTTATCGTGTTGTCGATCCGATCGGAAAGAGACCATCCCTTTTTGAGAATCGGAAGCTTTGGGCGAGGAAGATTAGGAAAGGAGACGGGATTGAAGCGTACGGGACGACACGGCGACTGTCGGCCATGACGGAGGCTTGTGGGGGCTGGTTTGCCGGCGGGACGGGGGGGATTGACTCGATTGGGCAGGGGACGTCGGGGTCCGTTCCGAGGAGTGGGCCGAGGCCTGTGAGAGTCTTCGGGGTTGGGCTGTGAGCCCTTCGTTTGGTTGGGTGAAGCCAGAGGAGAGATGGGCATGGTGATGGTGACGGTGACCTCGGGGAAGAGATTGGGGCTGCGGGATGTGGGTTGACGGGATTTTGTAGGATTGGGCTTTTGGGTGTTTTTGGTGCGTGTTGATGGATTGGACTTTGATGCTACAGGGAATGTTTGGTTGTGTTTCCTGGGGTTTCGAGCTGTGCTTTTCTTTTTTTGCTTGATGCGATGATACCTTGGCGACGGGGATGATTTGGCTCTGCGGAAGGGCATATGATGGCTGATGGCGTCCGTTTTTGTTTGAGGGCATATGTTGTTACCTATTTGTCAATATCACCTGGTTTCTCATTCATGCTCGCGAAGCAGCCTTCCGGATGGCAAGGTTGATGAGAGCTCACTAGATTCCGGTTCAGTGGGCGAGGGCGTCGCCCGATTCCGGTGTTTGTGGTTCGGCATGTGCTGCACAAGATGCGTTCGAGCTATGCGCTTGCAGAAACTGTCTGTCTTGTGATCGAGTTGGAATTTGATGATGGATAGGTTTTGGAGATGCATGGCCCTAGGTACCTTGGATATTTCTTCGGCTGGCGGTTCCGCGAACATGCGGCGACGACCTGTGCGAATAGCATTAGATCCGACTGTTCTGACTTATGATCCCTTACCGACCTCCTCGCATCCGGGTTCCGTAGTAGCTGAAGACGATGAGCTTCGGAGCTGCGAAGCGATGAGAACTTTCAGAATTTCTGCCAACCGGATCGTTTCCGATCGGACGAGATAGACTAGAAAAACTCTCCCCCAACGTGTACCGAAACTTACTTGCACCACCACCATCAGCAGGCGCACATCGGGAGTTTAGCGGGAGGTTTAACGTTGCTCAAAACTGGGACGAGTCCCGACAAAACTCTATTCTTTGTCTAATTTGAGCATCTATCGAACTTCACAAAACCCGTTCTATCGCCTCCAAAAATGAAAAGAAATGTTGTTGAGATTCGTCCGCGAGGCCCTGGGAGTTTCATCCATACAGGGGCGTCATCGTGCGCTCGCCAAGCTGGCTCAAACCGCCGTAGACGGGGAACCATCCCATATCCCATGTGGTAAGACTAAGCTTAGTTGCAGCAGCAGACCTGCGGAACAACACGTTAGTAACCATATTCAAGGCCGAGCAGGCGCTGCGAGAACGTACCTTGTTACCGCGGCCAGACTTGGAGTTGCTCTGGCACTTGAGCGCAGCGCAGGCGGAACCATCCTTGTCAGGCTTGTTGCAGGTTCCGGCGGGCGCGCCCTGGCGCGCGACGAGAAGAGAGGCCTCGTCGACGGCGGAGAGCTCGTTCTTGGGGCCCGGGGCGGGGATGGCGACGGCCAGGGTGGCGAAGAGGGCGGCGAAGACGGTTGCGGCGCGCATTTTGATTATTGAGGGAGTGCTTGGGTTTTTTTTTTCTACCAGAGAAAAATAAAGAGAGTGGTATTATTTGTGATTGTTGAGTGAGTGAAGACTGTCTGTTGCTGCTGCTGATGTGGAAACGAGAGGTAGACGGAGAGGAGGCATCGCCGTGGTTTATATACAGCAAATTGATCGACTCGTGTCGTTTGATCTCATGAGACGGATCATGGGGCTTCAGACGGGGTGGAACTCCCTCGCAGCGACGGAGAGGACCGATCCAAACTGCTGGGTAGCCTTCCCATCCTTTCGTCTCGCCTTGCCCCCCGTGAGCGGTAGGTGCCCATGTCGCAGCATGATGCGAGGCCTGCCGAGTTACGCGAGTCGCGAACTTTAGTTGCGTATTATGTGGGCTCCCTTCTCTTCTCTACGTCTTTACAGAAAAGTGTCCGGCTGAGGTGGTAAGAGCGGCCCAATCAGGTAACACGTCGCCTGTCTTTGGTATGTTCTGGACGGCGGCGCTCGAACCAAGCATGAAGACGCCGTACCAAGTTTCAAAAGATGGGTGGGTGAGGGTTGGGATTGGGCAACCCCACGAGTCAAGACTTGGCGCTGCGGGCCTGGGGGCGACCCTGATGTTTATTTTTGGGGGCTGAGTTGAGTTGATCGCCGCCTGCCTATGTTACACGATCTAGAGCAACTTCGTCCGATGATGGGATACACACTGCACACGTTGTCTGAACCAGCGCGCAGGTGCCTCTCATTCTTTGAATTTTAGAGTTTTCTCACAGCGATTGGATCGTGCGCGCTGCGGTGCCAGTTTGCGTCAGCTTGTTCCAGACGTTTTCCTCTTTTCTCTTCTGGAAAAGATGAAACTACACGCGACAAGCGCACATTCCACGTTTTGTCGGAGGATTTCTCTCTTGGTGAGGGCGCACTGGGTGGCGCACGCGCGCGTTTCGCAGTACATCCCAAGACCACGTTTGCTCCCACGTAACAGTAGAGGAATTTTACATTTAGAGTTTAGGGCGTTGTTTGCCGCCTAACCGACTGGTGAATGCTACGACCGCGGAATCTTCGTTAAAGTCGGCTTAGAACACATACACGCAGCTGTGTTCTCGTAGTCTTGCCGAGTTCCCGTCGGCGGTATTGAACTGGCCGGTTGGGTGATGGAGACGGATGGACCAGTTAGATGTGCTGCTGCAGCTAAGCGACTGCCTGATGCGGAAGGAGTTGAACAGGGGCTGACTGCATGGCTGCGAACTCTCTTTGAGTATGGCGAGATGCGATGCATGCGAATGGCTCGTTGAAGAATATTTTGATGGCTGTAATGGCGATGTTTACTGATCGTGATAGTTGTTGCATTCTCATAGCTGTGATACAGACTTCCCCCTATCAGCACGTCACAGACCAAGTCGTATCGTACGGCGCGCATATTAGTGGGTCGAAGGGGACCCAAACTCTATTCGAGGATTCGCAGCAATGATACCCATTCTGACAGGCGCAGAAGAGAAATGTCTCGTAGGATATTTCCGTACGGGGGACGGTCCATTCCGTGCGCTGGGCCCCTGAACGCGGAAAAGGGGGTCCCACGCGTCGCTCTTCTCCGGGTCCGCGCGGGAATACTCGAAGGCGGGCTGCGGATATGATGATGTGGACAGCAGTATCTCAACGACAGCCAGGGGCTTGGCGATTTGGCTGAAGGTGTGATGAGGTTCACTCTCGCTGTTTTGAGTTCTGAGAATGATTCCGCTTGTTGATCTGGAGGGTGTAGTTTGGGGTTGTTTGTCTGGACGAATAATCAAAGACCATCAATCTGCATCTGGCTGATTCGCAACGTCACGTTATTGCAGTTGACTCTTGGGATCGACAGGAGTCTCTGCTCAAGTTGATCTGTGCCCTGTTGTCAGCAACTCGGATTTAATCCGGTGGCAAGCAAAGAGCTGATGCCTGCAAGACTGGGGCTTTGCAACACACCCTTACTCAAGTTCAAGTGTGTTCATCCCTGTCAATGGTCAGTAACCCAAACACGTTGAAAAGTTAGAAGATTGTGCCTCTCCTTAAACAAGTTTAACGGAATACCAGCAATTAAGAACTCCCAGGTAATCTCTTTAATACATCTAGACTGCGTTTCACTCAGAACTTGCTCTTTCTTGTAGGGCCCTATTCAGCGGCGCACCCCTCTAGTTAGCCGGCGTACCCCCTCTATAGCTGATTTTACCTAGACTCTAATACTAGCCCTCTACCCTACTTATTACTAAATTTTTAGTATTTTCGTCTATACTTTATTAGTACTACTATTACTAACTATTTTTTAAGGCTATTATAATATTATTATAAAAAGAGATTAAATTTAAAAAAGAGGAAGCTATTACTATATTTAGTACTATATTAGTAGCTTCTACTAATTTTACTACTACTAACTTTATCTTTTTTAATAACTCCTCTATTATTAGTAAGGGTAATAATATTACTACTATTAACTTTAGTTTTACTTATATTTATATTATTAAATATAATAACTATAGCTTTATTAAGTATACTTATCTTATTTTAAATAAGAGATTTCTCTCTAAAAAAGCTACTTATAAAACCCTACTTACTACTTACTTTACTAATAGCTTCTAAGTGTATATTATATAAGTTATATATAGCTTTTAAAAGAAGACTTTTTATTAGTATACCTATTTATTATACTATAATAATACCTAAATAAGGTAATATAAAACTTAAGTTTATACTTTAAAGTATTATAAAAGTTTCTTTTATATAACTTCTTACTTATAGTAAGTTATTATTTAACTTAACCTTATTTATAGTAATTACTTTATTTATAGTATATTTAATATACTAAAGTAGCCTAAATATTATAACTATTATAACTATAAATTTTTTAATATTAACTCTTATTATAAGATATATTAACCTCTCTTTATTAAAATAGTGCTAAAAATTATATGCTTCTAAAACTATAGTATTTAACTTATCTACCTCTTTATAGCTTTATATATAGAAAGTACTTAATATAATATTATTAGCTACTATAATATTATTAATATCTTTATTTACTACTATTATAAAAAGCTTATTAACTATATACTAATTAAGTAGCTATTTAACTAATTAGATAACTTAGAGAAATATTAATATTACTTTAAGTAGGATTCTAAGAGCTATATTATAGCTTTTTTTATAGTACTATAAATAGTAGTTATTTACTTTAAAAGCTACTTTAATATCCTACTAATAGATTTAATATATAAGACTAATTGCTTTAATATACTACTTTTTAATATATATAGTGCTATTAGTAATAAATAAGCTTTCTAAGTTACTTCTTACTTCTTATTTAGTAAGAAAGAATATAATTATAAATAAGTAGTTAATACTTTTATTAAACTACTTAAAGACTATAATATTAATTACCTATAAATTATTTATACTAATTAAGAACTTACTTTTATTAAAGTTTTTAATACTAGCTTTACTTTCTATAATATACCTTATTTTCTTTACTACTAATATATTAATATAAATATTCTTATTAAAACTAAATATTACTTCTTTTATATTATAAAAAACGTTAATAGTAGTATTACTTACTACTTATAGTTTATTTAGTTTTTTAAAGATTAAAATAATTTCTTCTATATTAATATGTAAAATATATATAACTAATAAAAAGCTATTTTTAAGAGTACTAACTATTTTAACTTTATAGTTAACTATACCCTCTTTATATAGATTATATTTTAATATAAGAAGCTAATAGCTTTTTAAACTAATTAGATTACTTATTTTAGCTATATTATAATGTTAATTATTAAGTCTTTTTATACCTCTATTAAGTACTAAGTTTATTACTATATTAGTAATTTTAAGAGTATTTTTTAGAAATTAGTAGTTTTTTAAGATTAATAGAATAATAACTTAATATAGTATATTAAAATATATAAAAGTAAAGCGCTAAATTAGCTTAATAAAATCTTTAGTAAAATTAAACGCTATATCTATAATAAAATACTTAATAACTTCACTAATAAGCTAGCTAAACTAATAAAACTAAGTAAGAGTAGCTTAATATAAACGTTAAAGTATACTTATAAACCTTACTTAGTTAATAAGATATATAGCTTACTTTATTACTATATTTTCTAGCTTTATAAGTAGTAAAGTTAGCTACTACTACTTAAAAAGATTTACTTTTATTAATTTTAGATTTAAAAGCTATTTTAATTTATAATTAGTACTACTAGCTTACTTCTCTTTAATCCTCTATAAGTTAAGGCTAAAAGCTACCTTTATATTATTAAAAAAGCTAGTAATATAACTTCTAAATATAATACTTCTTACTTTAAGTTTAAGATTACTAATAAAACTATTAAGGTATTATTAATACTACTATTAATTATACTACTTATTTTTAGTAAAGCTATAACTACTTAAAAAAGCTTTAAAGTTATTAAACGTAATAATATATATAAAGCTAATATTAAATATTATTACTAATTTTATAGAGCTATTATTACCTTTAAGTATATTAATAATATTAAAATAATTAATTTAACTATTAATATACTACTAAGCTTATTTTAATACTTATTTATACTAACTAAGCTTATTTTATAAGTTAAAAGTAAATCTATATAATTATATACTATATAGGATATATATAATTTATTACTATTTAAGTATAATATTAATATTAACTTTAAATTTAAAAATATATTAGATTATTTTATTAATAAAGTAGAGACTAATTAAATATAAAAAGTAGAAGAAGTAGCTAAATTATAGGAAATTAAATATTAAAACTAGCTAAGCTATTAATTTAAATATTATACTTATTTATAGTTACTAGAGATTATATAATATAATAACTTTTTAATTAAAATTTAAAAAACTAACTACTAAGCTTTAAATTATTTAAATCTAAGGAGTTTTTAAACTATTTAATAACTTAGTAAAACTTTAGCTAATCTTCTAGCTAATCTAAGCTAATTAGAGGCCTCTATTTTAACCGC